GAAACCAGATATAATTTGCTAAATACTCACAGTAATTATTTCAGCTTTTTGTATAATATTTTTGCTCAAAAGACATGCCCAGAAATGAGCTACTGGCTCATTGAAAAGATTTGGAAGTAGTTTTAACTGATGGAAATTCAAGCAATCTTAACGCCCTGGAACTACCCGATGAAATAAGCATTGTTTCATCATTATTAACAAAAAAGGAAACCCCTGTTGAAGTTCTCAAGTTTATCGCTACACTTAAATTCGCACCAAACCTCAGCATAGCATTAAGAATCCTACTTAAAATGCCAGTCACTGTGGCTTCAGGGGAAAGAAGCTTTTCAAAACTAAAAATAATAAAAAATTATCTCAGAACGATGCAGAAGTAAAATTGTCTCAATGGATTGGCAATGATAGCTATAGAACACCAAATTAGTGACAAATTAGGCTTGAAATCACTGGTTCGTGAGTTTGCCGAAAGAAGAGTTAGAAAAAGGGCATTTTAATTACTTTGGTTAGTTAGAATTTATTTATAATATGGGATATTAGTTTAGTTAGCATTACCACATTTTAATTTTAGTTATTTTGCCTTAAGTGCTAAATTGCTTATCTTGTTATCTGATGATTGAGTTTTTAATAAAACATTTTTTTTATTTTCTTTTTCAATGTTTTCTTGACTTTCTAATATGGTCTCATGAGATTTACTTAAAAAAAACGGGGGGGAGGGGGGGCGCAAAATTAAGGTTTTGCCCGGAGTGCCAAAATGTCTAGGGCCAGCCCTGTAGCCTCTAAATGTGAGATCTATACTGGAGTATCTAGGCAGACAGTGCGTAGCATTATTAAAGAAGATACAGTTATTGGAGAAGTCTCACATCCGCAAAAGCCCCAGGAAGAAACAAAACCTTTATTGAAACAGGTAGATTCTTTTTTTCTTTCGAAATGAAATTCCTACACTTAAAAAGTTATACTCAGAAATAGAATATAGTAGTTATAGTGAAGACAGTTAATTTTTAAAGATAGTTCTTGTACTTTATATTTTTTTTAATCTTTGATTTTAGGTGCCGAAGTGTTACTTTTAATGCCAAGAGATTAAAAACAGTTTAATCACATTCACAACTAATAATCCTCCTTGTTATTTATTGGTTAAATTTAATTCGATCAATGTTAAAGTGCAAGAATTTTGTCAGAAGGATAAGGTTGTATTTTATTTTTTGTAAAAAATATAACTTTTTTCATTCAAAGTTTAATCTACAAAGTGCACACATATACCATTTTATATGCCGTGACCTTATTTATATTATAGAAACTTATTTTGCAAAGCAAGCCTATGGAATGTGACGTTATATTCCCACTTTTAGTGCACTCTTCTTTTATTTAGACTATAATTGAAATGGTTTCTTTCGTGTGAGTCTTTTCATTAGGTATTGGTAATCCAGGAGCTTTATAACTTCAATATTGACCATGTCATGCATCCTTTTTTCGTATCTCTGTTAAATAATTATAGCAAATTCGACGACTTAAGTGTTATGTGTATTCAATCAAAATGTTTAAATGATTCATCTCGGGTTTTATCGCCCCGGCTGGGAACACCTTGTATAGAATTGAGAATAGGATGATAATAAATCGTCTAAGAGGATGAAATATATGGCAGAGCAAACGTTTTAGACATTTTGTGAAACTAACAAATGACGTACAAGGACAAGGATACTCAGAAACTTACCAGCGCCTATTTCTACACAAAAACGTCATTAAAACTTGAAAGTCAATAAATAACAAAATAATGCACAACCATTATAAATGAGGCGCTAAATTAAATAATAAATCAGGAATTTTTGTTTTTCTACCTATGATCTTTGCTTGTTTTTTTTTTTAATTCTGTTATGTATTTAAAAACAAAACAAAACCATTGTATTAAATCAACCGTTTATAATAAAAATATCTATTTTTGTTCTTTTTTTTTTTAATGAGCTTCAATTACTATTTTTTACAGAATTAAAATCATTGAAATGTAATACCGAAGTTATAGGGAGAATTGTAATTTATTACCACTAACAAAAATACTTTTAATTCCGGGGACATTCATTGTAAGTAGAAGTGTAATAAAATGTTTTTAACTTTGTTAGAGAAAATATTGAGAAACATTATGCATTTATTATTAATAATTTATTTTATATTCTATAAAACAGTGGTGGATGGTGCAAAAGTGCTGTAAAAGAGTTGTAAAACTTTCAAAAAATGCAAGTATTTCATCTACATTTCACAGAAAGTATTTTAAACATTCTAAAATATACGTAAAATAGATTTTATGGATATTGGTATTAATTTTGATTATTACATAGTATCTATAGCGTACGAACGTATCCTATTATAATTCATGACCTTCGTTGTTTTTGATGTGTTTACCGTTGTGACATAGACTGTTTTTACTAAAATGCTAAGAGTAGTACATATTAGAAATTCTAGATTATAAAAAAAAAACAATAGGAAAAACAATAAAAAAACTAAATGTAAGTCATTTTATTTTCAAGATATTTAAGATTAGTAGATTATTATTTATCTATAAACTTATCTTTCTCAAGGCCATTTCTGCAGTGAATTTAATATCTTCCCTTTCTTTTCAAACTAAAACAATTACTGTACTATTCATGTAGGCAAGAAACAAAATTGGGTCCAATACTGTTCCTTGTGGGACTCTCATCTTTATAACAGATTTAGAACTTCCGGCATAGCTGATCTTTACCTTCTGAGTTATATTTGATAAATACTTTAAATTTTCGTAGAAAAAGTAATTCGACAAGAAGAACTAGGTGTAAAAATGTATGCAGATCAAATCGTTATTTCGCCCTTACCCATCCATGTTACGTACGAACCTTTTGTGATGTAAAGCAAAAAGCAAGGTAAGGCGTTACAGGTGATCTCTTGATCTTTTGTCGTCACGTTGGAATTTTAATGCCCATTCATCACGAGTAACATGCTCTTTTAGACTCAGTCCCACTACGGCCATCATACCACACCGTCACTATAGTCTGCAGTGTGCCTCAAGGTTGTTATTGGATAGGATAGGTAAATGCATAAAGAACGATTTATTTATGTACTTACATGGTGGTACTCGGTTCTCGGCGGCCACGAAATTTTGATTTTTTTTTTGGGTTTAGAAAAATGAGTGAGGCCATCAACACCCACTTAAATACTTACATTATAGACGTAGGTACTCTATCGAAAGTTTTGCTACTGTCAATTATACAGGGTGTAGATTATCAACCTTACTGACATTTTGAAGTTCAACATATGACACTTGGATTAAAAATATTTGAGGAAAACTAACTCTAGTGCTTTTATTTTGAATAATAGTAAAGAATTGTATTGTTTTTAATTTGACAATAATGACTTATGTTTCTGCAAGTATATTTTCAATTTAAACAAAGAACGAATGATAATGCAGAGCCTTTTGGATTAGTAGAACTAAAAAATGTTCTAAATAGGTTTAAAAACGGAAAGGCACCGGGTCCTAATGGTATTCCCACGGACGCCATTAAGATAATAGAAACAATATTTACAGAAGTAATATTAAACCAATGAATGGTAAAAGCTGTACAAAGAAGCACCAAGAAGTAACAGGAGATCTCTTCGAACATCATTTTGGATTCTGCAAAGGTAGATCCAAGATACAGGCTGTGGAAAAAGTGGTGAACATGTTTAAAGACAACACAAAAGATAAGTGGACGTTAAAACTACTTTTAACACGGCTTCTTGGGACAAAATTTTACAGAAACAAGATAACAGATAGTTACTTGGTGCAAAGATCACCAAAGATTATAAAGAATGTGTGGATAGATGTTACAGCGGGTGTTATTCAGGGCTCAGTCCTAGAACCAACCTTATGAAACGTGCTCTATGATGATGTTCTGGATGAAGCGGTAACGGAGGGAGTAACCATACTTGCGTACGCAGACGATATCGCCATTGTGATAATGGCCAAAAACAAAGAGTAACTTAAATAGAAAGGTCGCGAAGCCCTACACCAAATTTGTGGATGGATAAGAAGCAAGGAGCTGGATTTAGCACCCCAAACATCCGAGGCAGGTTGAAAAGGAAAATAACAGGTGACATTTAAATGTAGAGGCATAGAAAAATACTTTAGGTATCACGATGAGTGAAAACTGCAGCTTCGCGCAGCAAATAAAGGACACTGTTCAAAAGGCGGAGACAAGAGTCGCGTCTTTGAGTAGAATAACGCCAAACATAAGAGGTCCTACAGACGGATAATCACGAAAGTTTAACGACTAATGCTAATAAGAATCATTAGCGTATCACACAGAAGCAGCAAAGGCTGCACAAGTAATTGCTGGGATAATACTAATCAACCTTTTAGTGGAAGAAAGATCTAGAGTATATAGGAGAAGAGACGGAAGCGCTGCACAAGCAAAAGCTGAAAAGAGAGTAAGGACCTTGGAAAAATAGCATGAGATATGGTATAATACGGATAACGAAGTGCAATGAAATAAACAGATAATACCTCACCTGAAACAATGGTTAGAGCGTAAACATAGAACAATCGACTATTTCCTAACACCAATACTCACAGGACTTGGTTCTTTCAGGGTATTCGTAAACCGAATAGGAAAAACAGACAGTGACCTCTGCTTGTACTGCGGAATAATGGATTAAGAAGCACATACACTTTTAGACTGGACTGTGTACGATGGGAAAAAGGAAGACAGTAAATGCAGTTACCCATCGATATTACTCTTACCACAAACAATTTTGGAAGACTATGACGAAAAGTAAAGAAACTAGTAAATAATTCTTTCTTTCGTAAGAAAAAATATAAATACAAAAAAAGATGACGGAAGACAAGAGGCAAGAGGAGCATATACATTAAAAAACAGTTCTTTATTTCAGCAAAAAAATTATAACTCATGGTTTTTAAAAATTCCAAGTCACAAAAAATTTATGGATACCTGCGAATACACGAAAGTTGGATTTTTCATTATTACATTAACATAAAGACTTACCTTTGGAAAAACTTCATCCAGCACATCCACACTGGAATCTAGACCTTCTTGCCATACCGAGGAGCCTAAATCGTTAAAACGATATCCCAAAAATTTGTCCGTTATATGGAATTGAAGAAGGATATGCAACAAGTTGATAACTTCGCAAATCATCAGTTTCAAAGACCAATACTTGTTGATATAAATTCCGTCTATGAACATTTTTCTGACGAGATTAACCTTTTCAACTCTAAAAAAAAATATTATTAATTCTCTCTGAAGGAGTTAGGTTCAACGTTAATAATACCTCTCACTTTTCGATGGAATTTTGTTTCCTCCGATTTTCATTTCTTTTTCGTTAAACGAAAATGCAGCGTATCTAAGACCATCTACCAAAAATCTCAACCTGCCACCTGAAAATGTTATTTGTCTATTTAAATACCAATATTTTTACATCCTTCTCACAGATTTTATGTACGATAGGTAATACGAGAAAATGAAACTAGGTTTGTGAAAATGGAAGTAAACATAAATGCTAAAGCTAAATTATGGTAAGAAATAAAAAAGACAGTGATAGCATAGACATGAGTTATAAAAGTGATTTGAGGAAGAACATTTAATAAATTCTCTAAAGGCATCATAGAGTCTGACTAAGAAGAAACACTTTCAAACAAAATAAATAAAAAAACGTATGAAGGAGAAGTAGGAAGTAGAAGTAGAAAAGAAGAATGGAGTAGAAAGAAAAAGAAAGAACTGAAAAAAGAATGAGAAAGAAGTAAACAAATAAATAGAAGAAGAATAAGGTAGAAAGAAGATGTAGAATAAGAAGACGACAAATTTATACATTTTTAGATGGTGATAACTATTTTCGATGATCAACTAACATAATCATGATGATACTAATAGGATCATTGAAACGATAAGGAAACTGTTGTTACCTTCTAATTTTTTCCACATCAAATGTGTTAAGTAGAACATGATTCCCTGAAAAAAAAGTACGAAAGGCACCCATTGGTAGTATGCGTGGCGTACTATGGGTTCGTCTGAATCTATCCCATAGGGACCAACTCCTGGATGAGCAAGATTTCCAGTATCCAATAATTTTGAATCTAGTGCTTTTATCTATAATAAATAATTGTTAATTAAAAATCAGAAAAAATCGTAACTTAGTTAACCCTAGATAGTTTTTACTAAGAAGCGTGTGTTAAAAACGAGAGGTAAAGCACATGCCAAAATGAGTACGCATAATTCCTTTTTACTATCCAATTAACGTAATTCTTTTAAAATTATATCCCAATTCCTCAATAAATAACGATTTTTCTAGCATTTTTTTGGAAATTCCTGCAATTCACCTGCAATTCTTGCAATTCCGCAGCAGTTCTCACAATTCCTCTCAAATCTTTAAAGAACCTCGCAGCCGGCCTATGGACAAATGGGCTTCTGCCTAATTTCCTGGATTTTTGATATGTTGTATAGTTGTCGACTTGCTGTCCATGGGTACAACTCAATCCTATGACTATTTTTTGATATACTTTTGATATACTTTTGATATACTTTTGATATACTTTTGATATACTTTTGATATACTTTTGATATACTTTTGATATACTTTTGATATACTTTTGATATACTTTTGATATACTTTTGATATACTTTTGATATACTTTTGATATACTTTTGATATACTTTTGATATACTTTTGATATACTTTTGATATACTTTTGATATACTTTTGATATACTTTTGATATACTTTTGATATACTTTTGATATACTTTTGATATACTTTTGATATACTTTTGATATACTTTTGATATACTTTTGATATACTTTTGATATACTTTTGATATACTTTTGATATACTTTTGATATACTTTTGATATACTTTTGATATACCTTTGTTATATCTTTGATATACTTTTGATATACTGTCTGAGTTAGTCTCCGATAACAATGGCTAGTCATGCGCCCTGTTATTGTTTTCAATTGGTTCCTATTATAGAGAGTAGTTCTCCTGTTCTTTTTAAAAGTGGTCTTCTTATATTTTCCCATGAGCTTGCTTTAAGACATTTTCTCAATAATTGTAGTGTTTTCTCCGAACCCAGTCTTTTATGAAACGATGAACTGTACATTCTGGTACTCCAAGGTTTATATCTGGTTCCGATATTTCTTTTGACCATTTCATTGCTCTCTATTTCTTGATGACTTGGACCCCAAACTATGTTTACTCTATTTTCAGTTCTTTGGTGCAATCCCATAACAGCGATGACGATTACTTATCAAATTTAATTATTTATCTCACTTAAAAATATGATTGATTCATCAGAATATTTATTAATAATATGCTGTAGGATGTCTAATGTATAGTAGGAATTATTTTCATTTTCAGGCAGAAATATACTTAGTTTGCACATCCTCAGCTAGAGCCTCAACTGTAGAAAGCTTCTGACTGAGAATAAAGTTTGCCTTCTACTTATAATAACATAAACACTATTTCAAAATTATGTGCTTTTTATAATTTTTAACACAAGCTTTTTAGTTTGCAAGCGAAAAGCATTGTAAATAACATGAGATTACATTCATAAGAAAATAAATAGGCGATTAAAAAAATAATAGCTCGTAAGCTGAAGGTAGAAATTATTAACATTATTTCAAAGAATACCAGCATTGGAAGTTAGTTATTAATTTTTATTATTATTCTTGTTAACGAAAAAAAGTTGACACTAGTTAGATTGGTTTAGATTAGATTTGAAAGGAGTTAAATATTATTTTTGGTCCTTGTCCGTCGCGATCTTTTAAGATCTATTGTGGGACTTCAGTTATTTAGAGTATGTCGTATAGCTTGGTCTTTTTTATTAGACTGGCTTTTATTTACCGAGTAATAATAAACTCAAACTAGCCAGGCCTTCACACTGTCACAGGACAATAAATTATGTTTTCTTCTTCACAAAATCTGCACAATGTTAATCCTTCTACCGGATTGATGTCACTAATGTGTCTTCTTAGGCGACAGTGTCCGATAAGAAGACTTACTTTTATCCTAACGATTTGTCATTTTTGAACCGGTAGGTCTTTGGTGAACTTGGCTGACGGTTCCTTAGTGAACTGTTAGGCCTGTCTTAATCCTGTTGAACTGTTTCACTATTCCTAAGACTCTTTTGGCATCCATTTGATGGATATTTACGCGAAATTGTTATTAGCATTTATAAAATAATTCTACGCAAACGTCTCGGTTAGTTCCGCGGCAAAACTGTCAAATCATGTGTATGAAGTAAGGGGAACTGGCAAAAGCCTTTCCAGCTTTGGTGCGTTTGATTTGATCATCGGAGATCTCCGAGCGCTGCAAACGTGTTTGAATTGACACTCCGAGAGATCCCTAAAGTGTTTGTTTTGCTTTGGAGCGAGAACATAGAGCGAGCTCGATGTTCTCAGAGCAGATGGATCGAGAAGAGGGAGAAATTTGTCTTTGTCTCTACCTATCTCCTTTTAACTAACTTACAAACAAATTTGAATCTCTAAATTAAAGACCAGACAAGAAGTCAACAAATTACTTAGCCGCTTTTGTCTTATAGCTAAAATTATTTGTAATAAAAAACACAAAATGTGTGTTTGGAAAATACATTTTCTCTGTCCAGATCTAATCACCAGTAATCACAGGCATGGAGTATGAGAGTGAAGCGAGCATTTGTAGTATATGCTGCATTTCAGGGCCATTACCCCTTATTATTAAAAGTTTTTCCATTTTCTTTACTTTTTGCCCACTATTTTGACACACAAACCAGAAACAAGAATCACAAAAAAGCGAGGTTATGTTTTTTACTCTGTTTTATTTGATTTGATTTAATGCTCTATTGTGACGTCATCACTTCTCGGTCTCCTCGACGCTCGCTCGATCGAGTTTCAAATCAAACGCCCCTCTTGTCTCTACTATAGGAGAATGCGTATCTAATGATCATCTACGAAATATAAGTAGAATAACACTTGTGATGTTAGTTGTGATGCAAACATATATCAGTGTTATTACCATAAGTATCAAAGGAAAGATTGGTGATTACTAGAAGATTTTTTCATTACCGATAAAATTTTAGTAGCCCTGGACAATTTGGAAAAATTACAAAAAAGAGAATAGAGAACGGTCCTGAAAAATGAACTTTAGGAACATAAAATAAATAAAGAAATTTGTTAATAAAAATAAAAACTAATAATTTATGCAACAAGTGCATAAAGTGGTACTTTTTTTTTCACGAATGGAAAAGTTTACGGCAATTTCATGAGTGACAAAAAGAAATTTTATATGTTGCATACAATATTTATTCTACAGCCCTATACAAATAATAAAATCACAATAGTAATTTGGAATATTTTAATTAAACTCCATCAGAAATGCTATTAGTTTAGAATATTTATTTATATCTACGTTATCATTGATAATTAAGGTTGCTTTATTAGTTTACAACAGCTAGACCATAATGTAGAAGACTTGATTTGTCTAGACCTTTCCTCAAAAGAAAAAACTACTAGCACCCGCTCTGTAAAGCTATGAATATTCTGTATCTGTATTTTTAACGTGTAGAGGGTGGGTTACCCCACGGCACTTAGGTCTCATTAGGTCCATTGTGCATCCTCCTGAGATAAAAGGCACCTCCTAGCTCGTGAGCCAGCCTACAGATTTAATGTAGTTGACAACGTCGCCAAGAGGTGCTTCTCTTATATCGGCCGCTGTTAGCCGATACTCGCCGAACACAAATCTTCTAATAAATGAGAGCGTCGAGCAATCGTAAAGGATATGCTCGATGGTCTCATCTTCTTGTTCGCACCCTCTGCAGAGTGCGAATTCTGACAGCTCCATAGTATGGAGATGCTTTCATACTTGGGAATGACTATTTAGAATGCCTGTCACTAGGAGCAGATTCTGTCTAGTCATAGTCAAATATTTGTTTGCTACAGTGTCGTCAGGATAACTTAAGAGCTCCCTGGCAACTCTGCAGTTTCTTGTTTCATCCCACCTTTCCTTGAATTTCACAAGGGAATGTTCTTTGATTAGATCTGTCACTACCGATTTTGTCAGACCAATAGAAAGGCCAGGTCCAAAAAGTATTTGGTTGGCTGCTTTCTTGGCTAGTGAATCAGCAAGACGGTTACCTTTCGATGTGGCGTGACCTTTAATCCATCTTAAGGTGACCACATTGTTGAGGGATACTTCTGCCAAAGCTTCGTGACATTCTAGTACTAACCCTGAATAAATTCGTGGTCTGTTCAGGGTGAGTAGTGCTTGTCTGCTATCTGTATAGATGAGCATGTTCCTTCCAGTGATATTCTTTCTGGTTATTTCTTTTGCTGCTATGAGAATCCCCGTTAGCTCTGTTTGAACTACACTGGCAATATTGCTCACCAGCTATGAACATCATTCTGTTTCCGCCATTTCATAAAAGTGTCATATTCGTTTATAGCTTTTTTGATTTTAGTGCCCGTCTTGCTCTGAGAGCATACGAAAGGTGGGAGATATGTTACTTTTCACTCTAAAAAGTAACCGATATCGATATATCGCTCATCTTTTATGTGCACTTCCCGCAGGCAGAGCAGTAGAATCGAAAACGCTATTAGATCATTTTCTTTAGATTTCTCCGGCAGCAAACTTAATGTGTCCACATTTGCCTTTGTTATGATTTCTTTGGGAGTACATATTTCAAACTTGGATCTTTACCATCCATAATAATAGGAAGAACTACTGAATTGGAGGACCCCCTCTACTTTTTAAACCACGCCCCATTTACAAACTGCGCATGCGCAGAAATGGCTCTGAAGTTGGCTAACCTGACTTGACGACAAATGTAAAAATGTAAAACTTACATGTGTCAACTGTCAAAAAGTCATCTAACTTAACCTGAGAATTGTTAGCTACGAATTGGCTAACCTACCATATTTCAACTGTCATCTAACCTAACATATCTCAACAGAGTTGCTAAACTAACGTCAATTGTCAAAAAGCGATCTAAATTAACATGTCAACAGTGCTGCCAACCTAACATTTGTGAAAAGTCATCTAACTTAACGCCTTCCTCTGGAGACATGAAGAACTAGAGGAGGGGAGGGGAGTCCTCTGGAGACGAAGTTGTGGCCATCGTTTAAGTGAACGATGACCGTTGAATAGAAAAATTCTGCGCAGTAGCAATGTCAAAAGGGCCTAAGTGTATATCTCGGTTATTATTAGGCCGATTCAAGCGGGTTGTTAGGATGGGACATAGATTAACTTTGAAGAGAAAAATTCTGTGCATTAACAATGCCAAAAGGGCTCAAGTCTATATCTTAGCTAATATTCAAACAGAAAAAAAAGGAAGTAGGGGGAAAATTACATGAAGATTACCGCTGAGGAGAAAAATTACGCGTAGTGGCAATGCCAAAAGGATTTAAGCATATATCTCAACTATCAATGAAGATGAGATCATCGAACATATCCTCTACGATTGCTCGACGCTCTCATTTCTTAGGAGTTTTGTATTTGGCGAGTATCGGCTAACACTGGCCAATATAAGAGAAGTACCTCTTGGCGACTCGACCCCAGGAACTGCAGTTAAATTTACTGTACATGTTTTTGCTACATCCTGTATAGAGCGACAAACTGATTTCCTAGGGAGCAAAAATATCGTAATCCGACCCTGTTTAACACAACTTTGAAAAAAAAATTATATTTAATTAGTTAACATTTTCGAATTCAATAATAATTTTTTTTAGTTATTGTGCATTAGACATAACACATTCGGTGAATTTAAATGTTTAAGGACATGCAAATTAATCTCAGGGCATCCAAAAATAAAATTTCTAACATTCCTTCTATTTTATTAAAAATATATTATTTCAGGTCACCTTGAGATTTTACATGCAAAAAATTTTACTTTCTACCAAACCTCAGCCTCAACTTTATCTAAGGCTTCCTTGGACGTATTGACGTAAGGCTGTAATAACAAAATGACAGATGTCATTACATTTATATATTATGTACATTTAAAATGTCTACCAACAGGATTTTATTTATACTTACTACTGTGAATGTGGTGGTGAAAAAACAAAACGTATTCATTACATGTTCAGGTACACCTTTGTCTGATATGCATCTTATATGCTCGCCTATATACTGTCTAGACGTTACTAGTACTGAAGCTACCAGAAAAAATAGCACTGTAGCCTTATAGTGCAATCTGAATACACAATTATCTATAATATACTGTTGGGGCTTGAGTTTGAAGTTGTTTTTGATACTTCCGAAGGTCGCCACTAAACTCATGTTATCCTGAAACAAAATAAACACAATTGTATTTTAGGTGATCTAGGTTGGACTCTAAACTGTGTGTATATTATAAAATTAACACGTAAAATTTTCTTAGGAAAGAGTAAGTAGAAATAAAAAAACAATTTCACTATTTGTGATTTTTTTTATTGTTAATGCTTTTCATTTATCTTTGTATTACTACTATTATGTCTTCTTCTTTTGAATTTTCTCTACTTTATTGCACTTAAAAAATAAGAGCTATTATTAAAGTTCTGTTAGCAACAATAATTTTAAGTTTAAGGTATCAAAGCGGAACTCGTAGAATTTCTAATTTTCACACAATTTTATCCAAAATAATTCATGAAATAATTTTTTATAAATAGTAATAATAAATTAAGGAGAAGATAGATTTAATAATAAATTAATTTACTTGACAATCACAATTCTCACTTAACATAATTTTTATTTTAGCAAAATCACTAGCTTGATTGAATGCACGACTCAAATCACAGATTATCGCTGCTTCAGTTTTTCATATCCCTGTGATCGTATTTGATATATTTATAATTTTATCACCTAGGTAAACGTGTATTATCTGTCAGTTTTATACTATGTATTTTATTTTGTACAATATGTAAACATTGCTATTTTTACCCAGCCAAACGAAATAGATACAGGATGTTCTTGAATCTTGAATTCAGTAACAGAAAATATCATCATTATATATATATACTTTAAAAATGAAATATAACGTTAAACAAAAAAAACAAAGTTTTTGACTAAATATCCGGTGAAACAGTCAAATGATAGATTTATTACCGACCAATTGTGTAATTGTTATGGACAATGCCAGTTACCATTCAAAATCAAAGCAACCGTTACCTAACACTAAATAGAAAACTCTCCGATTGGCTAATAACCAAAGAAATAGTGACAGAAGAGATATTACTCAAAAAGAGGTATTGCAGTCATGTAAAGAACATTCACCAAAATTTAAGAAGTATAGTGTAGATGAAATAGCAAAAGAACAGATTTAAAGTGTTGCAGTTACCACCTCATCACTGTGTACTTAACCCATTGAACTAATCTGGGCTTAAATGAAGGGATATGTCGCAAGAAACAATAGAACATTTAAATTTAAGGATGTTCGTCAACTATTATGTGACTCCATATCAAAAATTTCACCGGACAATTGGTAAAACGCTATAAGACATGTCATAGCAGAGGTAGACTAATTCTATAAACTTGATATGTTAATAGAGGAAACCGTAAAAACCATTATTATTTCTTGGGAAGTTAGAAAACTGATGATAATGACTCCTTACAAAATACATAAGTATATAATAAAAATATATATAAATACATAATGTAAACCTAACACATTTTTTTTTTACTTTTACAGCTCTTTTCACTTGATTCAGGCAAGAATTAAAAAAATCGATGTTTTGTTTTGCACCAAATGGCTTAACATTTCTCAGAAGTCTGATCATACCAATTCCTGAGCCATAGTTAGTTCTATGAGCTTTCAAAGCAAATATGCAGCTATCACGCAACGGTCTAGATAGTATATAAAAATCTAACCTTTGCAAGAGTTCCGGAAAGTCAACAAGGCAATTTAGCAGTTTGAAGATAAATAGCAAATCAATAAATTCTCTTAGTGAAACTAACGTTTCATTATTTGTTGTGGCATGAATATTTGTATAAGAGTACGGTAGTGACAATTTAAAAGAATTTGTGCATATGGTGACCAAATAACAGAACAATATTCCTAATGTGACCTTATGAGTGAACAAAATAAGATTTTAATTGTGTGCAAATTCACAAAGTCTGCCGAATGCCTTCTCACGAATCTCAACTGTTTTAAGGCTTTACCAGCACCGTAGTCGACATGCTGAGAAAAAGATAGATCAGATTGAAATATAACCCCAAGATCTTTTATACTATCAACTTTATTAATACGATTTCCATGCAACCCATAAGTAGGATTAATTAAGTTTTACGTTACATTTTAGGGGATTAATTATTAATCCATGCAAAAAGCAGTATTCGTTCAAACTGTCCAAATTGCTCTATAGTACAAGACAATCAGATGAATCTTTAACGATATTATACAATTTGATACCATCAGCATACATTGCAACTTCAGTATTATTTAAATGTTTCACTACATCATTAATGTAAATACTAAATAACAATGGACCCAAGTGTGATCCCTAAGAGACCCCTGACATCGCTGCATATTCACTAGAAATGGCATTTTGAAATTTTACACAATAAACACGGTCTGTAAAATAGGAAATTAGCCAACTGAAAGCCTGTCCATAAATTCCTAGAGCATACAATTTGTCTTTTAAAATATTGTAGTCAACTCGATCAAAAGCCTTGGTAAAATCCGTGTAAATTTTATCAACTTGATGACCATCTTCTACAGCAGTAGCAACATACTCGATAAAGAGCATCGAATTGGTTGTAGTTGATTTGCCAACATGGAAGCCATGTTGTTTGCTACTAATCATATTTGAAAGCTTTAACAAAGGTTTAACAAATGATTTTTTCCACTTGGTGGAATGTAACTATATTTATAATAATTATAAGTTTATATGACTAGTTTAGTGAATAGCATTTTTCCTACTGGAAAAAAAGCTATAGTGTAAGTTTTGCCGGAAAAACAGAATTTAAAGATCTGAGGAGTATAAGCATTTTACCGACGCTGCCTAAAATTTTGGAACGAGCTATTGAGGTAAAAATCAGGTAACACTTGACAGATTTATCTTCATTGCAATCAGTTTAATCTGGGTTTCTTAAGGGACAGTTGCATTACGGCATTACTCCATACTGTTAATAATATCATCATCTCAATAGACAAAGGTGAATGTACACTCTTGGTATTGTTAGATTTTAGCAGAACATTTGATACTATAAACTATGATTTATTACTTAACATTTTGCATCATATAGGGTTTTCCAAAAATGCTAATTTGCTTATCCACAGTTTTCTACAACATCGCAAACAATGCGTTGAAATTAATTCTATTCAGTCCGCATATTTGACGCCTCAATGCTCAACTTTAGGATCCTTACTTTTCGCTATATATACTTCAAAATTAATAAGCTCATTAGACAAATGTAAAATTCATCTTCATGCTGACGACACGCAGATCTATTACAGTTTCCCTCCTCATTTATCAGAAAATATTTGTGCATTAATAAATCAAGAGTTGGGTGCTTTTATTGAGACAGCATATTGTTTAATGATCAATCATCCAAAATCTAATCTAATGCTTTTTGGTACTAACTCAAGTCGTACTCGAGTACAACTCCCCTAAATATTAAAATTAATAATAAAGATTTAGTTGTAGTTAATGAAGCTAAATATTAAGGAGTCATTATTGACTCGAAACAAATATTCGAAAAACATGTTAATAAGCTAATTCAACATGCATATAGCTCAATAAAATTAATATATGGTAGCCGTAATCTCCTGCTTTAAAATATTATGAGTCCTCCTCCCTTCCCCTTTATTTTCTCCGTGAAACCAATAATAGATGAGAATAACCTAATGCCTTCTCTTCTCCTGAATTCGGCTTGGGAGAAAACCATTCTACAATAGACAAAGTGCACAAAATTGCAGACACTATTGGGTTAGAAGAAAACAAAATTTGCTTTGGACAAGCTTTTAATAAAGAATGGAATGAAAGATTGTTTCATAAGGAAGGAAGATTGGGCATGGTGTTAATCAAAGAGGTAATTGGGGCAGGTTATTAAGAAGTAAAGATGTTGTGAGACGACTGATTCCAAATAATCACATAGATAAAACTAAGCTCAGCAAATCAAGCTATATCAAATGAAATATAAATTACCGACTTGGAAAAAAATATTAAATTAAACCATTTAAAGTTTCCAGATGGATTCTACCTACCAATGAATATTTAATTTGTTTTTAATACTGAAAAATGTACTGGGTGATAGGAAAAAATTCTAAATTCTCTACATATATAGAATTGCGTCTCTACAAGCAAATTCTAAAGCTATTCTGAATACGGCGACAAAAACAACAGCAGAATAATATACCAAGGAACATCGTACCTTTGTATTGCCAAAACTCTAACCTTCATCGGAGCCTAGGAATAAATATTGTCAAAGTTTACCAGAAGTCATGAACAGACTTCTTCGACATGTAAATGTCACGGGATCCAGCTCTATATGACACAAACCAAGTAAGAAGAAACAAGGGAACTTAACCGTTTGAGTTAATCTAATGGTGAACAAACTAATAAAAAAGTGGAGCATAATAGTGTAAAAATACTAGCTAAATATAGAGTGATCTACAAAAATGTTAGTAAAGTAGGCTTTGGAAAATTTTAAAAATGTAGAAGCGTTCAATTCTTCTTATTAAGTGCCAGGCAGGGGCGGCTCCTGACCAAAATTTTGGGGGTTCACAGTAGCAGAATATAGATCTCGGTACAGATGTAGGTAAAAAACTGTCAGTGTTTTAGAAAAGTATATTATAAACTGGTGCCAGGCATGAATACATTTTCTAAGGCATTGTTTCAAGATGTCACCAATAATTAAAGTTTAAATTTTTAAGTAAAATAATTTAATTATGTATTTATAATTCTATTATTTGTCCTAAAAATAGATAAATGTTTCTGAGAGATAGCAGTAAATTTAGTTAACATGAGTGTATTGGTTATTAGGTAATCTATCCAAAATGGTTTATTTTTATTTTCAAGAGCAATATATTTCGTTTTTTTTTTTTTTTTTTTTCAATTTATACGTGGATATAACCTATAACCTCACTTCAAACGTCAAAAATTCCAATGAATTGGATCAACGTTTGTAATACTTTTTTAAAGTGTTTCAATTAAGATTGTTTTTTCCCCCTGGAATTGGTTAAAAAACGTAAAATCTAAATCAAAAAATCAATTATCTTCATTACCTTTTTATCGCCCATTTTTGAATCAAATTATCACAAATTTAAAAAGAAAACAAACGAGTTTACTTGATTTACACCATTAAAC